TTACGATTTTGACTTGAGCTTCTTAGCATTCCATTCTTACTGGCGGCAATACTTTTTATATTTTCAGTAAATATTTTTCCTACACTGAATCAAGAAGCCAATGTGTAGTCAAGGAGAATAATTATGTAGCATAATTCATGGTTTTAAAAGGAAGTCACTTGTATTATTCATTAAATTAATAACAACAAATTTTAATTACTACTATAAATAATGCGTCTGGTCCCATATAATGTAGTTAGCAGGATATTTTATGGTTGATCTACAAGGAAGTTATGGTTGTTATTGTAACAAAATAGTCATATTAAGTTATTTCTTCCTGAAAAGAGCTTTGGTGCAATGACCGATTTTCAAATAAAAGGGGAACATTAAAAAAAAAATTTTCTGCAGAAACTTTTGTTAATTCTTTGGCAAAGGCCAATGTAATTTATTTGTGCTTGTTACATAAGGCTCCTGTAAAGGAATATGAACAATTTTTCTGTATGCATAACTGTGTAATACAGAAGGAACATGTCTGACTTTTCTTTAATTAAATCTTGGTTTATTGCTCTTAATTTTGTGTTGCTTTTGTTTTCTGGCCGATCGTTTGGTTCCATCATTGGCGGTCTGAGGGTAGAGAATCAGGGGGTCCTGACCTCCCTTGTGCTGCCAAGCAAACAAATTCTAGACCTACCTGTTCAGGACCCATGTGTTCATGGGCGAAGATCATGGGGGAGGGGAACGGGACACGTCACCCACATATTTTAAAGGGAGAAGGTGGGGGTGTTGGACCCCTCACTTTTCGACTGCAATGCAATTTCATAAGTCAAGAAGATGCATGAACATTGTTAAAATGAACTGCATCAATGACCTAGGTTTTAACGAAAGAGCGCTGTACACAGCCAGAATACATCTTATCAATATCAAGATACCGGTACCTTTTGCCCACAATCATCTGAATTACTATGATAATAGGCATACACGACTCGAGCGCGCTTGCCTTTATTATAATTTGAGAAGTATGAGAGAAAGCGTATCAAGATCAGATTGATTTTCGGCACATGATGTAGGTACATTGATACATCACAGACAATTATGTTTTATTTTTCTATGGTACATCACAGAAATGGTTTAGATCTCTATGAGTACCAAACACCGCTGATAAAAGATCATAAAATTTCTTTTGTGTTCCATTTGAATATAATAGTGATGTGATGATAATGAATTTTACTATATAAGAGTGTTATTTCCGGCCATCCAGAGGTATTAATTCCCCAAATTTCCGCACCTCAGCCCCCAGTCATTAATAGGCTGAGGGTTGTGTGGATTCACGGCTTTGAAATAGGTAAAGCATGATAAAGTAAATACATCAAACACACTTTTCTATTAGTTTTATTTTCTATGGCACATTACACATATTAATTACGTACATATCTATGGTTGCCAAAAAACCCTGATAAAAGATCATGAGAAAATTGTTGGTGTTCCATTTTGACTATAACGACGATGCGATGAATTTTACTATATAAGAATGTTATTTCCACCCATCTAAATAGTACTATCTATCTATCTATATATCTATCTGTCGTTCTGTCGGTGTGTCTGTCTGTCTGTTGGTCTGTCTGTTTGTCGGTGTGGGAGTGGGGGGGGGGGGCGCTCTGTCTGTCCACGAAGGCTTCATGGTTGGAACAGATTCAAATACCACCAGATACACTCCACTACAGGACTACATTCGTTGAGAGCTATGCTACAAGATGTATTATTATGTCCTTTATTCCAACACTGTATTTACCTTTCTTTGATGATTATTATATAATTTAACAGTGTTAACGGCTATCTTGATTTATACTATATGCAACTAATTGTTTCTAGCCGTAATTATTGTGTAATTGAGTGTATCTGGTGGTATTTGAATCTGTTCAACCATGAAGTCTCCGTTGTCTAATGGTTATGACGCTCGCCTTGGCAGCGAGAAGTCGCAGGTTCGAGTCCTGCCAGAAGCATTTTATTACACGATTTCTTTATTCACTTATATACAGGACTATATTCGTTGAGAGCTATGCTACAAGATGTATTATTATGTCCTTTATTCCAACACTGTATTTATCTTTCTTTAATGATTATTATATTAGTGAAGTGCCTTAGCGTCAGGATCATTACACGGATGACAAAAGTGCCAAATTTGGTTCAGATATTAGTATGGGCATACGGTTTTGAAAAATCTCTGTAGCCAAAAAAAAAAGATTTTTTTTTTTTAAATTTTTTTTTTAAATTTTTGGTGTAAATAAATGAATTTTTCGCGTAAAAATTGATTTTTTTGGGAAAAAATATTTTTAATATTTTGGTATTTTTGACTATTATAGTACAAGGCTACTTATACAAACAGGTTTGGAATCTATATGATCATTCATTTGTCACAAATAAGCAAATAAGAATGAAAAAAAATAAAGATAATAAAATGTTTTTTGTTACGAGAACGTCACTTTTTAAAAAGTCTAGTTTTAATCTTGTGCATGAGCTAATAATTGCTTCTGGTAGGTCATCTAAACAGGCCTCGAGTGAAGGTCCTGTTTCCAAATCTTCCAGGGGTGGCGCAAGGACTTACAAGATGGAGGCCCGACGTTGGGGAGGGGGAAAAGCTCCCCGATATATTATGTTGATTTTATATACTTAGTAGTTTGAGGAACTAAAAAAATTATCACTATAAATACCTTAAAATAGCACAATAATTATAATTAAATTTGTAAGCTGATTGGTCAACACTTGGGTGAATGGATTAAAAAAAAACTCTGAGGGGGATGTTAATAGCATTTTCAGGTTTGCCAAGTACTCTTTCTTTTCCAATAAATAATGATGAGGGGGTGCAGTAATAGTAGTAATGGATTTATTCGGTGTAAACTCCAGGAAAACCCACGACAGTCTAGGAGAAAACTTATTTCCAGTGGGGTCCTTCTGGTGGTGATTGCACAGTACACCGGGAGACAATGCCCTACTCTTTTCCAAAGAGTGTACCGGTATCGTTCTTTATCGTGCACATGGGCCATAAATGCACACCGGACCAACGGCCGAAAGACGGTGCGCTATTGTAACTTGTATTTTAGCCGTCCAGCTAAAACACAAGGAGAGGCAGCGATGGGAATTGAAGCGGGAACCTAGAGATCTCACAAACAGTGGCTACCATCAGATTCAGACCACTGAGCTGAACTGCTCTCTCAATTCAGAGAGAACAGTTTGTATACTTTCAATACAGAGAGAAAAAAAGTCCAATGTTGTGAAGAGTGTTTCTCGGGGAGAAAAAGCACAATTCGTCGGGGAGAAAAAAATATTATGTATTTTTTTTACATATTAGTAGACTCTAAAATCGATTAAATAAGCCTTTGAAACCCCTAAATTGTACGCAGAAATAAAAAAAATTGTCTGATATTTGATAATTTGTGTATTTTGTTGTTTAACTGTGACAATTAGTGATATATATTTTAAACACTATTGAAAAGTAAAGTGTTCTTATGCTGGACGATGATAGAACTAGAACTTCCTTCTAAAATAATGGAGACTCACAAAAGTATTGATGGAATCTACTAATAAAAGCAATATCAGTCTATTTAATAATGCAGTAATACGGAGTCAGTTTACAGCACGTTTATGACTAACGATGCGATTTTATTTATACAAGCACTCGCCCCAATCCATGTGTAGTTTTTACCTCAATCTGTGTATTTTATCATCTTACGTGTTCCTGATATTTCATAGCAAAACATACCTAATAGAATATTATTAATGCTTGGTATTAATTCACTAGAATGTTTTACTACCTTAGTGCTACAAAATTATAGGCCTTTATCCTATAATATATTATTAAATATTATTTGAAGTTGTTTTTTCTGTGTAATATTAAAATAATGAGAGAATAGAATAGAAACAATTTTGGAAACCTAAAAAATAGTTACTGTAATCTTTTATAAACCAAGGTGATTTGGCGATCATCGTAATGTGACTCGGTAAAAGAAACTATTCTAACACTTATTTAGCATTTCACTATAGTATGTTCAGATAATTTAAAGACATGTGTACTAAATGCAAACAGAAGCATATAACTATTATATATCAGGGGCAACAACACTAAATTACTAGTCCACATATCAAGCGCCCTGAGTACATTAGATGGATATGTGTGCTATATGAAAATACACTATTATTTTTATTATTATTATTATTATTATTATTATTATTATTATTATTATTATTATTATTATTAAATTAAAAAATTCTGTAGTATTAGTAATGATCTGTTCCTCCAAGACATTTTAGCTAAAATATACTTTCACCTCGAGTATACGGTACAATGTTTCTATGATTCTATAGAAAACACATACACTTTCTGATGTCTAATTAGTAGTACTCGAATATACAATATTTCTATGATTGTATAGAAAAAAAAAATGAGTATCGAAGGTACAAATAATGCGACATTGTTATTGTATAACTACTATAGGGAATCTGTCGCGAAAACACCGTCTAGTCCGTATACATTTTCTTCTCGTTTCATAGGCTCCAGAATTTTATCAGATACCAATTTTACTTTGTTCTTGGCTGTCTTCTTAAAATGAATGACTGCAAAAATAAAAGATGAAAAGTCATGGTTACTTATATTACTATTATAGTAGTTATTATTTATATTATTATTATTTATATTATTATTATTATTATTATTATCATTATACTAGTTATCATTATTGTACTATTGTAGTTATCTTATTATTTATTATCAGCAGCAGTAATTGTAATATTAATAGTAGCAGTATATAGCAGCAGCAGTAGCAGTAGTAGTAGTAGTAGTAGCAGTAGTAGTAGTAGCAGTAGTAGTAGTAGTAGTAGTAGTAGTAGTAGGAGTAGTAGTAGTAGAAGTAATAGTAGTAGTAGTAGTAGTAGTAGTAGTAATAGTAGTATAGGCGAATCCCTAAAATACCACCGCTACCACTAAATTACTACTAATTATTAGTTTTGTAGTTTTAGTATTTATCTTTTCGCCAATAATTGAATTACGCATTGACTTATTACCAATGAATATGATGGTAACCACGAAAATAAAAATGAATGCGAGAGATACAACAGCAGCAATAACCACTGTCGGTGGGCCAACAACGCTGTCGACCTGAAAGGAAAACAAAACATAATGATGTTACATCTTCAAGCTTCAAAATTGATCCTCACATGGGATAAGATATTATACTCAAAGGCATTTTGACGGAAAGTAATATTCGCTAAATAATGTATATAATGTAGACAATTATTCCAACCCCGTGCGTTCTATCGCCTTATTTATGACACAATTTTCCTCCTACTCTAATGTAATGTCTTGCCTTCATTCAAAAATTTACTTAAAGCCATACAGAAAGTTACAAGTAATCAAGGATCAATATGAATACAACATGTTACATCGAAATGATCCAGGTACTTAAACAATGGGTTAACATATATTAGATAAAAATTACAAAATACATTTAGTATTATATTACAGACATTAATTTACGTACCTTCTACCGCTATAGGTACGTATAGGACTACAGAATAAAAAGAAAATTTACCGTTGGTTTTTTGGGGACATGGTGTATAGTCGTAGTCACAGCATGTTGATGGACTGTCGTTATGATATCAGGTTGATGGACTGTCGTTGTCACAGCAGGTCGATGGACTGTCGTAGTCACAGTAGGTTGATGGACTGTCGTAGTCACAGTAGGTTGATGGATTGTCGTAGACACAGCAGGCTCTTCAGCTATAAACGAAGAGGTACAATTAATTTTTTTTGTAAACATTCAATTTAATTTCTATCTTGAAAGCCAATACTATACTTGTTTAGGTTACCTTTCCATGTTCTATTCTTAAAGTTGAGGATATGGAATCTTAAAATCTTAAAATAGGTTTTTTTTTTTTTGTAAACATTCAATTTAATTTCAATAAACTATAATTTTTTTATGTTTTTCCTTTCCTCTGTCGGTTCACTTCCTGGACCATTGTCTTCTGGATGTGTGGCAAAGTGTTGTTCCTTAGTTAAAAAATAAAGTTATTTTTTATGATTATCTACATAAAGACTGATCCTAAATTAAAAAAAAAACTCACTGTATTGTTGGTGGCAGTCTCTTGAACCGAAATCTGTTTTACTCTGACCGTCTTTACATACGAGGCAGTTTAGCTGACCAGCGTCTGGTTGGTAAGTTCCTTTTGGACACATCTCACACACTGCTGGCAGAAGGTCATTACCTCTAACCGATCCCGGCGGGCATTCAACTACATTAAAATTCGATAATTGCAATAGTTATCACAATTTATTTGGCTATCTAAATGATAGGATACATGATTAAAATTAAACAGACACGAAATTAAATCGGCCTGTATGTCTAAAAAGTGTTTATCGGATTTTTACAGCATACAGAATAAATACATTACAATTATATTATTTTTATTCGTTACACCATCATGACTTCTTCAGGACGCAGATTTGAATATAAACTAATAGTCAACACAATCAACAAACTGTATTAGCTATAATTAATTAATTTGTAGGCATTTGCTATGAAGTATATTTGTTAGAAGTTTAGGCTAACTTACCACAAATGTATCCATTCTCATCTGCATACTGTGAAGGAGGGCAGGTTGGTCCTTCAAAATAAAAGGTAAAGCTGACCACCTCCATCGCTTCACCATCCTGCTCAAAGACTGCTCCGGGTTTAAACAAATGTTCAAGTGCCAGGGCTTTGGCTTGCAGGCTTTCTATGTTCTCGGCCATTTGGTATGCCGCTTCCTCTCTACTTGCATTGAGAATATCGAAAGAATTTACATTGAATTTTTGAAGGGTAAAAGGTAGCTTTATAAAGAATGATGTTTGCCCTGGATGTTCTTTGGGGTTATAAAGCACGTTGAATACTTCTTCGTCGGTTCCTATCACCTCTTCAATTACACTTCTGACAGATCGATTAGGATACGTTGAATTTTCTATTTCTAACAATGTTAGTTCCATAGGACTGGAAATATCTGGCATTGTTATGTTCAATGTCGTAAGTCTTGCTGGTTTAGACATCACCCTTCCATGTTTGTTTGATGCTTCGCAAGTGTACCAGCCGCTCTGGTTGAAACCTGGACTCAGTATCTCAAGGCCTGTATCATTCTTACCTTCAATCAGCGTCGAATTTGATGTTAATGTTTCTTGGAAGAACCATCTGAAGTCAGCCAAAGGAAGAGAAGAAGCATTACATACGAAGAACACACCCTCAGGATTCCCGTGATCAATGTCACTGCTTTCTGGATGTCGAGTTATAACTGGTGGATATTCTACAGTGAGTTTACATTCTAGTGACTGCACAGACGTGACTTCATTACTGGCATGGCACACGTAAACTCCGGAATCAGACTTTGAAACTTCTTGAATGTGCAGAGTGTTTGAATTTTTATTGTCTAAAATTCGGCCATTAAATCTCCAACTGAGCGTTGGTGTAGGATCTCCAGTTGCATGACACGTTATCTCTATATCATTTCCTACTACAGTACTAAGTTCTGACACTGGGTGCTTTGTAATGACAGGACTTTCCAGACATATGTCATTAAACTCAGTCAGCAAGTCTGTATGATTGAGAACAAACAATGCACTATATTCAGCTTCCTCCACACTCAGTTCCCCTTTGTTTAAGAGTGATTGAATGAATGTTCTCATAGTACAAAATTCAGTGTAACCCTGTAGACCCTCCAGCATATTATCTAGATGTTCTATATCTGTGATTAAACAATCGGTAAATATGTTACATTCAAACATTAGACTGTCATTGGTAATGTATCTGTTCATTGTGGCCTCCCATCTTGGAAAAATATCGTCAGTTTCAAACAAAGACCTCGTACTGTCAATCTTTCTTTTTTCCGCCTTAATGACTCTCGACAATGCATTGGATTCAAACTCGTCAGATGGTATACCATCTGTTTCCTCTAGCTCTTCTCTTGTTAAGTTAAAAAAAATGATCGCAGCACTTTCGTTGGCACTAATTATTGGAGGCGACTTAGACAAGTTGTATGCATATTCATCAAGGACAGTTTCAGAATGTTGAAAGTGTCCGTGAAATGACGAGTTTGCAATATTCAACAACGTATGGAAGGAATATTCGATGTACTGCACAAATTCAGTAAACATGTGGCATAGTTCTTCAGTATAAACAGCTTTCTGGTCACGATGTACATTATCAGTTACATTAACCTTGTCTGTCTTGTTGATAAAATCATAATTAACAATATCGATCGGTGGTTGACTGATAATGGGCAAAGTGCCTCGTTTTTGAAGATGACGAAAATAACCTGAATCACCAAGGTAAACCTCTCGTTTCTTCCTTAATGGATTACTAATGTCACGGAATATTTCGTTAGCTAAAAACACCGCGGCACTATCGATAGTGTAGTTGAAATTGTTAAAATCAATAAAAATCCGAATAATGCTGGGAACATGTAACAAAGTGTAACTGACATCCATGGGAATTGTCTTTATATCCGGTACCGTCAAATCGATATTAAATCCGATTTTGTTAATAACAAAACTGGTACTTAATGATCCATTAACCTCAAATTGCTTAATATGAAGGTCAGATTGTACATCTTGTTTTACTTCTTCAAGGCCAGTCTTTGAATTATTTAGATTTTCTTGCAGCACATACACCCTTTCATTCACTGCTTCCAACTGACTATTCGCATCTTCAAGTTCGATCCGAGCTTCATTCAAACTCGACTCTTTTATTGCTGCATTCACTCTAGCATTTTCAAGCTCTGCTATTGGAGACGCCAAGCCAGGTGCCGATGCTTCTGACTGTTTGTATAATTTGTTCCTTACTTCTCGACAATACTCGTTGCTTCTTATACAATTGGAATCAGGTATCTGGTAGCCACACGTGTTTTCCACTACCGTTGGCTTTGTTATTTGACCGATCATCGTCTTTTTAGTGCACGTACTACAAGTTCTGAATGTAACTTCAATAATTACTGGATTATAACATTCGTAACAACATTCAGACTTCATACATGCCATACGTGTTTTACTGCTTACTGAAGTTGCAACTAAATAAGACCCTTTTATCACTCGTCCCCTAGCTATCGCTAAAGAACCACGGATAACTCTAAAAACTTTGATTCCTTTTTTTTTGACTGGAGTGCAATCCTCACAACTGTAACAACAGCTGGTTCTTTCATAAACAACAGTGTCTTCAATTCTATTACTGCAACACGTGTAGGGAACAAAAGAATAAACGTCCTCGGTTGTTTGTATGACTTCTGTCGTTGGAATACATATACCAGGACACGGTACAATCGCACATACTGAATCCAATTGGTCTTGTAGTTCAAGTATGTCATCACCTACGTCTTCAAATGAAGCTTGTGCCTGCTCTACCTCATCATTTGCTGCCTCTAAATCACGTACACACATTTCATACTTTAATTGAGACTGAATCATTGTGGCTTCAATCTTTTGTTTCTCTTTCGTAGCATTATGTAGCTTGTTTTGTGCCATTTCTACAGACGCAATTCCCTGTGCTATTCTTTGCTCCGCCATGTGCAGACTTCTTTCTGCTGTAGTAATGGTTTTATGTTTTAAAATAGCTCCTAATGAATTTTCTTTCTCTACATCTACATCTCCTTCCGCGTTTAGTATCATTGAATCCCATGAGGTAAAATCTGAAGTGATATTTATTTTACAATCGTAGAACCCCCAAAGTCTACCCGACAAGCCAAAGTAAATACCCTCTTTTTCTATACACATAGCTGTAACTTCGTTAATGCCGAGCAGATTCACACTCACACCTACTTTCCCCAAAAAACGTTCTTCAGTAGAGCTCATTGCAACGACAAATTGGGAATTATCAGGGATTGTAATAAAACTGTTCAGTGTTAGTCTATTTGTATACTCTCCTGTAATCCAGATTGGGTCTCTATAATTATCAATAGGAAAGGAATAAGCAGTGTCGCCACAATTTCTCTTCGATACGGAATCAAAAACATTTATTTCCAATGCAGGCATGCATAAACTTTCCGAAAAACACACTTTGCATGTGATGAGGAAACCAGTACCACTGATAGTTTCATTGACGAACGTTGATTGTATCTGAATGAATAAGGCATTTCTGTTGAACTCTAATGACGCTATAGCATCATCGATATTCTCTTTCAAGTAGGATGGAAACCAAAACTGATGGTTCTGCTCTCTATAACTGAGTTCATCTTTCACAGCCCATAAATCATTCAAAGTAAATTTGCAATTAGCTGTTATATTTGACAACACACCTGCGATTACTGTTACATCATCTTCCATTGTGGCACTATGATAAGCAAATACCAAATTTTGAAACAGCTTTGCTCTAAAACTGATTGTGATAGCCATGTCGTTTATTAGGCCTACCGATGTCAGTTCTTCAGCAAGCTCGGCTAATTGTGCAGATGTGTTCTCAAACTTATCAACAACTGACGTCACACTCAAGACATCGTAGGGAATTATAAGTTGAGGTGTTAAATCGTATTGTAGCAGTACTTGGATTGGAGAATTTGCAGCCTCTGGTTGAAGTAGCCTCCAGAATGGGGTGGAGTCAAATACACCAAGTTGCATTGTTGATTCAATAAGTATACCATTCCTTTCAACATCACAGCAACAGGAGCCTCCAGAAAAGTCTAGAAAGAAGATGTACATGTAAACATTAATACTGCAGCAATCATGTTTTTTGCCTTTCCCCCAATTTGTCTACACCTGATGTTGGCATCGAATCTGATTAAAAGTACCACAGTTAGACATTCTGTTTAGTTTATAAGCCAATTAAATGCTGGTACCTAAGGTTAAAACATCGTACGAACTACTTTACATGGTGTACAGGAGAAGTGGCGAATTCCCACAGCCTTACACTGTCTGGCCCAAATGCCAAGAACTTCAGGTTTTGATCGTTAACTTTACCAGCCCAACGCGCGAGTGTAAAATCACTTCACAACCCGTCAACATTCAAAGCTTTGGCTGCCGAGTGCAATTCGAACACTGCACTAAACCGCCTTCTTGTTACATGCATATCGTTTTCTTTATAGTCAAAATGTTGTTATTAATTGGGAAAATTATATATAAAGAACTACAATTAAACTAAATAAATAAATCAATTCTGGAGAGGTGTTACAGTGTTTTAAAATGTAATTTAATATATAGTTGTTACAGTGAATATTGAATTACATTATGCAACATTTTATGTAACCAACATTTCTAAACTTTTAACTCTGAAATCATAGCTCACTAAAACAAGTCTGAGTGTCTGAATCTGAATATGAAACAACGATAAGGAATAAAATGATATGTTACCTGCACCAAATTTTGCTGTAGCTATGGGAGCATTTGTTGGTGTCGACGTAAATTCAAGCAAAATATCTTCTCCATATACCTTCCAATAAAGTTTCAATTTCGCCACGCCTAACTGCTGTAGTAACCATGGTTGTATGAATAACTCGCTGAATAACTATAAGTAAATACATATTTATACATATAAATGTTGATACAGTTTTTTAAAGAGTTGCGTCAGTCTGATTAAAAATATTAAATCATTGTACATTAAATCTTAAGCACCAGCAGCACTTACCACTGATGTGTTCTCCAACCATACGTTGATATCACCTTCTCCCTCAATTTCTGCGTTCACTGATTGGTTAATGATGTACGAATATTGGAGATTAGACCATAGATTAAGTTGATTCCCAGTAGCTCCTTGCCCAACGTGGGAGTTTAATGTATTCGTAGTTGAGAAGGCTAATCCAGTAACGTTGATGCTTAAGTTGGGTGTATGGCCTACCCCCTGGATGTAGTTCAAGATATCTCTGGAACCGTGTGGAAATGTGATAATAACACTTCCAAGCGTATCATCGCAAACACCTATAGCCAAACAGTACTTCCCTTTCGACAGAGTTAGGGGCAAACCAAGGATCCTTCCTCCGATGAGTATCTCTGCCTTTTGTAGCAAATACACGAAGTACTGACCTTCAGACATAACAGGAGCCTTCGCACACCACTTGTTTTCTTTTGTCTTATCACCGCTTAGGACTGAACCGGAAAATGCTGATTTCGACTGCTCTGGATCAATTTCGATAGATATGAATGTAATCCAGTCTGGTAAAATATGTTCAAGTTGATTTATATAAGTGCGATACATCGAATGTTTATCCACAAACCATTGTATATCGTCATCAGTTAGACCCATGCTCTTGCAGATATCACATGGTTCTGGAATAACATAATAATTATATGAATAACCTTCGAAATAAATCGGTATTTGAAGGGTAGATGTATTCAGCGATACTACTCCAGTTGTTTTCAACTGTGTGTCCCGGTAGCTCCATTTCTCTGTAGATACCAGTTTAGCTTGTAGACCCTTTTCTCCGCATATTGACTGATCTTTAACTTCAAAACAACCACCTGGTATTTGATAACCTGGTGAAAAGTGTCCATTCTTCTGGGTGTATTGTTTATAAATATAAACCTCTTCATATTCTGGTGTTGTGAATGATTCAGCGTCTTCTCCCGACAAGACATAATATATAGTTGTGAAACCTTGAGAAATGCCACGTACGGAAACCGTATTCATCGTCGAAGAATTCGTGAATATAAGGCGGGAAGGCTCAATTGACAGACGAGTCGCATCAGTTAAAATCTTCAGTTCAAGTTTTGTTTTTGGTTGTGCAAAAAACCTAAGGTTATTGTATGTATTATTTAAAATAATCCTTGGCCACGTAGGTGTCTTGATGAAACCCTCCGAGCACCTGGTACCTGTGTAACCAGTTCCTGAACAATCGCAGTAAAAACCACTGAGCTCCGACGGAGAAGCATGGCATATACCATTTACACACGGTGAGGGTACACACGCTTGGATTTCTAAGTCAATATCAAAAAGATAGCTTTATATTATCTATTTTATTAATGTATTATTATTATTTCAATAAAAATTGTTAATAAAATATTATCATCATTTTAAATTATATATAGGCATATATATATATATATATATATATAAAATTTAATTGATTTAATTTATATTATCTATTTTATTAATGTATTATTATTATTTCATTTTTATTTCATAATTGTTAATAAAATATTATCATCATTTTTAAAGAAAACACATATGCAGCACATTACCCCTGCACTGAGGGGCACTGGCATTCCAATTCCCTGATTCCATGCAAACTAATCGGAGTTCACTTGTCAATTTGTAACCATTATCACAGCCAAATCCACAAACGTTCGAAATGGAATTATCACAGGGATAAAGAATGTATCCATTCACTGGTGAATCCAATTCAGGACAAAGGATTTCTAAAACAAAATGATAATGAATAGAGTGTGTTTGCAATCAATATGTTTATTACGTTTTTAAAATATTTCAAAATACTAAAATAGTAATTGTAAAAAAATAATCAAAAACAATCTTATAAAAACATTCAAAATCAGATTCATTAAATCGCACACGCCTTTAGAAGAATAAAAATTAAACATTAAAATAGTACGGTATATAAAATTAAATGTAAAACAGATCGGACATATTTAAATTACATTTTAATTTCAGAAGGTTCGCAATACATAATACAATTTGGAAAAAGACTTGATTGTATTACAATTGTTTTAAAAAAATTGATAAATTGCACAACCGGCCCATTTGACTACAAACCAATTTAAGGGATTATGCAAAAAATAGTAATGCTTACCTTCACACCGTGTAGATGTTCCACTCCATTCACCAGATGGGAGGCAAGTGCGCTTCGAAGATCCAGTCAAATGATGATACCGTCCACACGTAAATGTGCAGGACTCTCCAGTAGTGAAACCGGTGCAGTTCCTTGTGCTATTGAAAGGGACCCCAATGTCTACACAGGGGTTTGCTGATAGATAATGACAGAAAACAAAATTAGCAGATAATAGTATGATGATTCCTTTTTGGTGATCTCGTCTTGTTTTAAAATACTGAAGATGGGGAAATAGTGTAAATGTCACGTTACATCTTGATTACAGTATTAGGGTTTTAGAACCAACATGTTCGGAATATCATATTAATTCGTATTCATATTCATTCTTGGCTTTAATTATGTTCGTAAGAATTATACAGTAATAAGAGTAATACCTGAGCATGTCCTTTGGTCATAATTCAGAGTCCAGCCACGCGAACAGCTGCACAAGTAGCTACCAGCGGTATTGGTGCACTCTTGGGCGCATCCGGACGATTCAGTAAGACATTCATTTACATCTACAGTATATGAAACCAATTATAGAAAATCGTACTAAAAATGTGCATCTAAGCACACAACACACTTATTTTTATATATCACAGAGATAGGCCTAGATCCCAGGTATTCAACCTTCTTAGGCTGGTGACCAGTTCTAATCTATTGAGACCAGCAATATTGTGTACCATACTTATAATTCCGTTTTAAATGTAAGCATCACGTACTATTATTACCCTTGGATTTTCAGCATCAAAAATGATAGGCCTTGTAAAAGTAGCAGTAGCAGTAGCATGGGAAAAGGATGGGAGAAAAAAACTTGCCCCTTAGCTTCTCCTACCCAACTAATAAAAATTTTCCAAAAAAATAATCCACTCGTGTACTTAAGTAGTTAAAAAACACTGTCCAATCCCCAAATAGTCCCACATGTACCTCAGCCCCATAATTGGTTGTGGCTGAGGTGAGCAAATTTTTAAAATATACACCTCTAGATTCTTGGAAATGGCAATTTTAGACTGCAAAATACGTTTTCAAAGCAGTGTTTCAAACAAAATTACAATGGTCATCATATCAGCGTCCCCCTACTTAAAAATCCCCATCAGTCTCCCTGTCAACATTACAGTACGTCACACATACAGTGAGCTACACTCAGAAACAAAAACCAGACTCTTGTTGACAATGCCAACATAGGTGGTCGTGTTTCTATTAACAGAAAAAACTGTTTCTGTAAGTACTGAAAATCGGCTGGAAAATGATTTATTTTGAGCAACGTTACACGGGCCGGATCAGAATCTTTGGCGGCCCCGGACCGGGGTTGGGCCTAGATCATGGGAATCTAATTTGCTCAAAATACGGATATATTCTTACTTTTACACTGCTTTTCAAGACATAGTCAAATTAGAAAGAAAATGCAAAAACGCTATTAAGTTCATTTAGAATATATGGTATCCTAGATATCAAAAGAACATTACTAAACTCAGTAGTTTATAAAGTACCTTCACAGTGGTAGGAATTTACAACCTCGTATCCCGAATTGCAGGTGCAAACGAAACTTCCGATTGTGTTAAGGCATGTATCACAGTTGGCAAAATCACATTCATTGATATCTACCAGTAAATAAAAAAATCCATCACAATGTTCAACTCGGTTTAAAATGTAGGTTAATTAATAAAGAAAAATTTTGAAATTTAACGTACCGCTGCAGTTACTTGTTCCCAGGAATCCGTCTTGGCAGGAGCATGTAAAACTTCCCGGTAAGTTCTCACATATTTGGTCACAATTATCGTTGTTCTCAGTGCATTCATCAATATCTTAAAAAATATTAAATTGTGATGTTAAATATATGGTTCAATTTTTGAACCATATTTAAAGAAGATGACAGTTCCGGATGTGCCCCTTCAAGTCCAAATTTCTAAACATGAAACACCAATATTAAAAACAGCTATAAAGAGATAATTATTATAAAAATTCAAATAAAAGAAATCAATTAGAAAATAGCAAAATCCACATTATAATAAAATCAACAAAAAATAATTATTAAAAAAGTATTAAAATCTCAATTAACAATTGCACTTTATAAGCCTAAATATAAAAATTCTAATTAAACTCAAAGACTCAAAGTCAAAACAAACAAAATAAATAACGTTAAATTCAACCATTAATCATCAGTTATATCAGGATTATAAGAAAAAAATACAAAGTTATTAAAAGTTAGACAATTACAAATCAACATTCAATTTCAACAACCTGCATCAGTTTACCTTCTTCGCAGCTTTTCCCAGAGTAGGTGTCCGGGCAGTCACACGTATTTGGTCCAACGCATTGTCCATTGTTTTGACAATGTGGTTCACAGACAGCTGTAGAATAAATACGAGCTACACATTTGAACAGTTCTGATATATTTTCAACAATTTCGATTATTGAATTGGATTGAACTGGATTTATTCGGTGTAAACACCAAGGATAGCCCACGAAAGTCTAGAAGAAGACTTATTTCCAGTGAGGCCCTTCTGGTGGTGAATGTACAGTACACCGGGAGACAATGCCCTACTCTTTCCGAAGAGTGTATTGCGGTTCTTTAACGTGCACATGGACCATTAATGCACACGGGACCAACGGCATAAACGTCTCATCCGAAAGACGGTGCGCTATTGTAACTTGTGTTGCAGCCCTCCAGCTGAAACACAAGGAGATGCAGTGATGGGAATTGTACCGGGGACTCTAAAGATCTCCACGGTTCAGCGCACACACAGTGGCTACCACCAGGTTAGGCGACTGAGCTAAGCTGCTCCCATTAAATATTCAGTATACTTTTCAGGACATTTCCAACTGTAAGTTTCAATGTTTTTTAAATAAATGTCTAATAAAAATGAAAAGATGGAATTATCTTGATATTGTGTTTAATGAACAACATTAAAAATTACAATTAACACAATCCATGGCAGCCACAAGCTGAATTGAGGTTTAAATTTACAAACGTATTGTTATGTTATATTTTCATTGCGGATTTTTTGTCTCAGTACGGACTCTAAACGTATGCATTTTCTTTTAGTTTTAAGGCGTATGCGGATTTTATAAGTCCGCAATGACGATATAACGTACGAAAATATTCAAAAGCTTTACAGACACGTGATTAATATCAAACTCATAAAACAGCATAAAAGGCTTAAACCATATCAAGAACATCAAAGAGAGATCAAGTTAAAAAATCTCTGGGAACAACTTTACTACAACTAGAAGTTCCGTATGTCTGGCGGTGCACTACCGTCAAACAAAGTCCCTGGACCTGAACAATCTTAGCAATTCAGGATTCAAGAATTAAAACGGTTGTTTTTCTGGACTTTATCTGATACTTACGAACACAATTTGTAAGTTGTGATAATGAATAACCATCGAAGCATTCACATCTAAACCCTCCAGGATAATTCTCACACAACTGTTGACATCCACCATTATCATTGAAACATTCATCAACTAAAGTAAATGAAATACAATTTTATATAACTGTATATAATTATTTCTTTAAATGCTTGGTAAGTACTATTGGGTGATGGGGAACGATAGCGAAGCGTACCATGCACTCGACAGTACAATGTTCAGTCATTGAACTGGACACGAGATATTGATGGGGTTCTATCATGGTTCTAACAGTCTCCATTTGTCTAAGTCATAGACATACATACTGTAATTACCTTCTATCACAGTAGAAGACTATATATTTTTCCAGATTCCATTTGGAAGAAATTAATGATAAAAAGAAAAAAAATCATCTGTATCTCTGAATTGCAGGTAAAAATCAGCATAAGCTTATTATAAACTGTAATGCTTACGGTCACGGCAGTCATCCTCAGTGTATTCTTCGAAACAGGAGCAGAAATCAGGCGCAAGACATATGCCATTGACGCAAGGTGGAGTGCAAACAGCTAGTAGGATTTTTTAAGATAAAATGTCGTTGGTTAAAAATTAGCTTAATTAGTAGGTGTACGATTAAAGCACACACAAACACACACACACATACACACACAGATTATATGTAAATATATAGAATAATTTGCTTTAATCGGATTTGAACTACCAACCAAGTCTCAATTTCAAAGTTGGTTAAGGCGTCTGCATTGACAGCAGAAGGTCCTGGGTCCTGGGTATCTTTTAGAAGATCCCGTCTTGTCGTTAAATGCTCAAGGAGGGGGCGTATCATATTGATCTCTGTTATTCGCCGTGCAATGAGAACTAGTGTTATTCAAGTACGAACGTGCAGAGAGTGCAAAAATAAGTGGCTTTAATCGGGTTTGAATTCGCAACGAAACTTCAATTGCCAAGTTTTAAGGCGTCTGCATAGACAGCAGAAAGTCCCGGGTTAAAATCCCGGTTGCAGCAAATGTTTTTCGCACTTGCAGATTCCC